AAAGTGAGGCCACTTTCCAGAAGAGGAAACTGAGGCCCAGAGAGGTGTTGCCAGAAGCCCAGGGTCACACAGGAAGGAAGAGGTGGTGCCTGGAGTCCAGGCCCCGGGCTCTAATCTGCCTCCCCCAGGAGCACCGTGCGGAGGTCAGGGATTTGTGGAGTGGGATGTCCCCTCTGGCCTGCACTGTGGCTCCCAGGCTCCAGGGGTCACCCTCAGCAGCCACAGGCTTTCCTGACTGGTGGGTGCAACCTCTCCCCATTCACCATCCCCCACCCCCGTGTGTCTGACACAGGAGGGCTGCCTACTTCACAAGCATTAATGGAGTGTCAGCCACAAACAAAACAGACTCAGTTCCACCCTTCGGGGCTGGTGGCCAGGGTGAGGAACACCCAGCCTCCGAGGAAAATAAACAGACACGGCTGCAACTGCCCCCTCTGTGCTCCCACCCAGCCAGCTCTGTCTCTCCTGCTATGGTTGCACAGGCTATTCCCTTTGCCTAGAATGCCTAGCTCCCTGGTGAACTCCTCTTCATCCATCAAAGCCCCAACCCCAATGTCCTCTCTTCTTGGAAGCCGTCCCAGGACCCACCAGTCCCCAACCCCATGACTCCATGGGGCTGGATGTATCTGCATTCCACAATAATGTCCTAGGGACTCTGCTCTGCTGTCCTGGTTATGGTGGCAAGATGGCCTGTATCATTGCCTCCAGGCCTATCATCACCCCCAGGGAGCCCCCAAACTCTCAGGATGATTGACTCAGCTGGAGTCCCATGGCCATCCCTGAGCCAGTCCCTGCATCTCTGGTGACAAAAGGCTCTAACTGACCAGATTTGGATGCATGTCCACATCTGAAGCTGGGAAGTGGACCTGCCCCCCTTTGCTCACTAAAGGGGTAGAGTAGACACCCCCAAGACTCGGAGGTCCCTGCCTGCCCCATCCTGGCTGGGGGGCCTTGGGCGAGTCACACACTCCCAGCCTGTTTTCTTCCCCCGCCCGCCCCCCCCGCCGTGTGTCTGGCTCAGCGGGGCTGAGGTGCTGGAGCACAGAGGGGTCCTGCCCTCCCCCACGTGCTGTGGGGGCCGGGCCCAGTTTACCCCTCGGCCCCCTCCTTCACTGTTGCCCTCTGTGAGTCCCCCCCAGTGTGGCCTGCACTGGTGTCCACCTACTGAGTTGCCAGCTCCTCCTGGGTCCCTTGCCCAGCCCGGTGGTTTCTGGGGACTTTCCTGGCCTTCCCTGAACCTGAACATCAAAAACAAGGTGGGAAGACGAGGACTGAGGCTGTGTGGACAGGCCTGCACACGCCCTGGCACAGGTTCCATCCCCCGTCCTTTCCCGCCTGTAACAGGGAGGCCCTGACCACTTCTATTGGAGCGGGGCCCGCTGCTCGTGAGCAGCCTGCAGACCCTCAGCCGGGCCTGTGGGCGCCCAGAGCTGAGGTGAGCACGGTCATTACTGCTGCACCTGCTTCGACAGGTGTTAGCCTATGTGATGCATGTGTGCCCGAGCTCCCTGGCCCGTTTCTGTGTCTCCGCCTACATGTGTGCATGTGTGTGTTTCTGCATGTGTGTGCACCAGGGTTGCCCTGCATGTGGAGCCCTGCAGACCTAGGAGACAGAGCGACCCAACCCCTTGTTAGGAAAGGTGCACCTGGTGGAGGAAACTCCGTGGGCAAAGGTGGGAGGGCTAGGAGATTGTCGGGTGCAGGCAACAGCAGGAGGCTGCAGGGAACAGTACAGGGGTGCAGGGAACAGCAGGGACACCAGAGCAGGCAGCCTGAGGGGGAGGGGGAACCGTGTGAGGGAGCCTGGGCAGCTTCGGCAGAGCTGAGCTTTCAGAGGAAGTGATGTCAGTTCTGAACTATTCACTGAACACCTACTCTGGGTGCCCAGAACTGGGGCACAGAGGGACTCCAGGGTGCCAGAAACCATGACGACAAACAAGTAAATATATGACTGTGGGGGCAGGGGAAGATCAGGAAGCACAATGCATCAGGCAGGGGTAGGGGATCCCAGGGGTGCTCTGACCTAGAGACAAGAAGGATGTCCTGAGGAGGTGATGAAGGAGAGAAGGTCCTGGGCAGATCTGGGGAGAAGGAGCCCCAGGTGAAAGGCAGGTGCAAAGGCTCTGAGGTGGGGATAAGCTGGCAGAGGGGCCCCATTCAGGAAGATCTAAGCCTGGAGCAAGGAGGGGAGGCATCAGGAGGCAGTCCTGGTGGAGAGCAGGGCCACCAGGACAGGCTGTCCTGTAACTGGAGTCCAGCAGGAACTTGTCCCCCCTCCTGTCCACACTCAGCACAACCTCCTCAGGACAGAATGTGCTGTGAGGAGAGGCTGGTGGTGGCTTGTGTCTGGTGGCTGGAGCGGGGTAGCAGGAGGATTCCTGAACAATGGCCAGACTAGGCCTCCTGCCAGCGAGGGTGGGAAAACAAGCAATAGACGCCCTGCCTCCTTGTCACCCCGAGACCTGGGCCAGGCCCAGCCAGGGAAGAGGACAGAGATGGTGAAAGTGTCAGGGACTGACAGAGACAGAGAGATGGTGACCAAGAGAGAAGGCGAGCCGGAGCCCGAGCCAGAGAGGCAGTGAGTGGGAGAGACACAGACAGCAGTGAGAGACACGGACGGGTTCTCTGGCTGGATGCCCGGTCTGATGGGGTGGGGACCCTGGGAGCGAGTGCAAGGCAGCGACGCTCCCCCCCACCAGAAACCGTGTGCACCGGAGCAGGGAGGGAGTCCCCTCCAGTCACTCACCAGAGACCCCCTTCACACCCGCTATGTACTGGGGGCAGGCACACAGCCCTAATCCAGCCCTGCCCTCAAAGGCTCAGACAAACAAGTGAATGTCTAAATAGGAATGCCAGAGACTGATGAGGGCTATGAAGACCATAGGACAGCAAGGTGGGAGAGCGAGTGAAAGGGGGGTGGTTGGCAACTTTAGCCAGGAGGTTGGTGCACCCCTGAAAAGATGAGGCTGGGGATGAAGGGGAACCAGCCTTAGGGACGGGCCTTCAGCACAGGGAGCCATATGCACACGTGCGAAGGCTCTGCGGTGGGAACCAGCCTGGGATGCTGGAACAGCAGCCAAGGCTGGAAAAGGAGCTGGAAGAAGCAGGTGGGAGGTCTTAGGAGCCTGGGGAGGGTGAGATTGTATCTTAGGAGAAGAATATTTGTCAACTGTCCTCTATGCCCTATGGGCCCCTCACCGTGTTCAGGGAGTTCCCTGGACTCTGGACGGCCTGTGCCAGCTGCATCTGGTTGTCATTGACCTGAACCAGGAATCCATTTCTTCCAGGAACCAGGTTCCCGGGGCCGCAGATGCGGGAGTCCCGGGGCCCTGGGGCAGCTCGCCCCCTCACGCCTGCCAGGGGTAGCCGTTGCGGAGCTGCACTCATGTCGCTGTTGCAGCACACACCCTGGGCTCATCTCAGTCCTGCTGGGGTGCTGCATCTTGCACACCCTGGAAAACTGGGAACTCATCCTCTCCTGAGGCTGACTGTGCTGTGGACACCTTTCTCTGGTCCCAGTCCTGGGGACCTCCCAGTCTGCCCCGCTCAGAACCGGATGCCAGGTCAGTTGCCCAGAGCAGACGCTGCTGGACGGGGAGTGTCGGGTGCACCCCAGGAGCAGGGGCAGCTAGAAATCAGGGCCCAGACTCAGACCAGGGACGGAGGCGATGGAGGCTGTGGAAGTGTCCCAGAGTCTCAGATGGGGAAACTGAGGCTCAGAAGCAAGTGCCCTGCCCATGATCACACAGAGAGCAAAAGCTCAGTCCAGATCTCCCAGTGTCCACTCCCTAGGTTACCCCCTCACCCTAAGTCCTCATCCCTGCCCCTCAACCCCACCAATGGCCATCCTGAGCTGCCAGTTAATTTTCATAGCACAGCCTAGGGTTCAGACCAGGGTTTTAATTGGGCCTCGCCCCAAGGGGCAGGGGGGCCTTGGAGTCAGAGGTGAAGCCTGAGCAGCTGGAGCCGAGGGAGCAGCAAGTGGGGCATCACATAGGTTGTGGGGCACGGCCTTCGAAATTCCAGGGGCCGTTCTGAGTGGCGGCTCCATCAGTCCTTGCTGTGGGGCCCTGGGCTGTGGGACCCTGGGTGAGCCCCCTCACTCTGTTGGACTCACTTCCCCCACCACTCGAGCTGCCTCAACTCCCAGTGAGCATTGGAACAAACCCCGTATGTGCTGGTCCACCCACACCTAGTCACACGTGGAGCCAAAACGTGGGAAGGACTCGAGTGCCCAGCAACTCGAAGGGCCGCCAGCTGGGGAATGGATGAGCAAAACGCAGTCCGTCCACAGTGCCACCTCACACTCAGCTGCAAAGCGGAGTGAGGCGCTGACACAGGCTGCCGCGGGGATGAGCCATGACAACAGGCCCAGCGACAGCAGCCTGATCTGCAGCAGCGACGAGGCCCCGAGGTATGTGGCCCCAGGGTGTACAACACCCAGAACAGCCAAGTCCGTAGAGACAGAGAGCAGATCCGCAGGTGCCAGTGGCTGGTAGATAGGGGTGGGGGGTCACTGCTCTCGGGGATGGGGTCTCCCTTTGGGGTGATGGCATGTTCAGGAACTAGGCAGAGGTGATGGTTGCACAACACTGTGAATGTGCTAAACACTACAGAAGTGTTTACTTTAAAATGGTTCATTTCATGGTATGTGGGTTGTACCTCCGTGAAAACAAACAAAAAGCCCAGACTCAGAGTCAGGATCCCCCCGCAACACAGAACTCCGTCCAGCCCGGGTCCCTGCTCTCCCTTTGCCGAGGACGGGCGGGGAGGGGGGGGGTCACTATTCCTCCTCCCAGCACCTGCCACTGCCCAGGGGGAGGGGTGGGGGTGGGGATGGGCTCCAACCAGAGCTCAGCCTCCCTATGTGTCCCTGGGCCTCAGTTTTCTCTTCTGGACAATGGGCCCCTCGTCCCTCTTTGGCCTGGAATTCCGGGGATGGTGGTCAAGGCCACTCCCCCTTCCTGGGCAGCTGGGGAAAGAGAAACCAATAACCCTAGTCTCTTCCTCCACAATTTTATTTTTTAAAAATTGTACAAAACAGAACAATTTAAGGCTTATCAGAAATGCTGAGACCCAGGCCAGACACAGGGGTCTCCAGAGGCACACTGGCCCTGCTGTGTCACCCCGGGGTGACCTCTGTCCCCAAGGCCTGGTTGAATGCTCTGCTGTCATTATCTTGAAATTCTTAATACTCCTGAACAAAGACTCCACATTTTCATTTGCAAGTGAGGTAGCAGGTCTTGTCTGTCCAGCTCTGAACCTGGGTTTGCAGGCCGTACAGCTCAGAGTCCACAGCACTGGGAGAGGCCCCCAGGCAGTCCCTGCCTGGGGCAGGGATCTCCAGCTTTCCCAGGCTTCAAAGGCTGCAGCCGCTGCCCCTGCAACCCACAGGCCCCGCCTAGCTCCCCTGACTTGCTCCCCTGATGCCTCCTTCCTGGGCCCTCTCTCCTGCCAGACCCTCCCGTGTGACCTTGCCCTTTGAGCCCCATTCTAAGATGAAGGGGCAGTCTCCAAACATCATTCAGCTCTGACCTTCTCCGACTTCTCCTCCCTCTTGCTTGCCTGTCTGCTGAGCTCTTATTCATGTGCCAAAGCCTTAGCTAAGACACCATTTCCTCCAGGAAGCCTGCTCTGCTTCCTCTCTGGACTCTTCTGGGTCTACCTCTGGTCCCATGAGACTGGACGTATTTATGTCTGGCTGTGTCTCTCCCAGGCTGGAGACTCCTGGGGGAACCCCAGCCCCTGCCCACAGGCCGGCACAGACAGTTTGAACAGTCACTTGGACCTGCACCAGGCATTTGATGCCTTAGAAAGACCAGATAAGTCAGATGCCAGACTGGCCCTTCCTCTGTCCTGTGTGAACAGCCCTATCCTGTTTCAAGACTTGGTTTCCCAGCTCCAGTGCTGTCGGGCTGGCCTGTTCTGGATCCAGCCACTCCCACGTTCACGGTGGCTGGAAGCACAGGTGCCATGCAACCTTGTCCCTCGAGATACCCACTTCCACTCAGCAGGTCATGCAGCGTGGCCTCATGGCTTCCGAGGGGGGGTTTGGATCCTCCTGAGGAAAACAAACCCATCAAGCCTCAGGGGGCACAGGAGGCTCAAAAGCACCCGTCCCTGCCCTGATAGTCTCCAACCCCTCGAGCCGCCGGGGGCTCACAGCTGGTTCAGGCCCTGAACATATGTATCGGAGTTTCATCAACATTTTAAGCTCCTGTGTCTCCCACCCCCATCTCAGCTCCCAGGGCCTGGAAAGGTATGGGGCCTTCTTGGACCCCCAAGCTCACCTCAGAGTACAGGGGCGGCGGGCGGTAGCGGAACTCTTGGATATAGGTGAAGAAGGGACCCTCAAGGCTCATGTTGGACTCCTGAGGTGGTGGGAAGGGGCTCTGCCCCACAGCCGCCACACCGTCTGCCACCACCTCTGAATACTCCGGAGGGGCTGGAAGGGACAGCGGAGAGGGTGAGCCCTGGAACTGGCAACAATGGCCAGGAGCCTGCTTGTGCCGGTTCTGGGCTGCTAGGCCGTGTGCCCTCAGGCTGGGATTCTTGGGGGAACTGTGGTTGCCAACGTGATCATTTCTGGGCGCTATTACAGATGGGGGCATCAAGGTTGCGGAGGGCATGTTGGCTTGGCACCTGCCTCTCTACCCACTCACCCACCCACCCCTCAGGGTCACCAGGACGGGGCCCTCACCCTCAGGCTGCTCTGGCAGGGCCCCCAGCCCCCAGTCTAGCAGGAAGCCGGTGTGGCTGCCCACGCTGGACGAGCGGCTGCCAAAAGGATGCAGGGGGACAGTGCCGATGACCAGCGGCAGCTCCAGGAGCAGCTTGGATGTGCCCGGGATGTCCACACAGACCTGAAGGAAAGAACCACAATGGAGGGTGCCCAGGCAGCCTCGCCACACCTGCCCCCCACAGAAGGAGGCCCTTCCTGTGCCGAGAGGCCCCAGCTCCAGCCTTGAGGCAGAGCAGATGCAGCCCCCCTGCCTCCTATGATGCTCTACCTTGAGGGTGTAGTCCACATGCAGCACGCGGCAGTGCAGGATGGAAGGGCCCACAGGGGGGATCCGGAGCGCCCGGCCCTGCCACAGTGCTCGCCGCCCGGGGCCCACAGGCTCGCCCAAGAGACTGGCCACCACTGCGTGCTTCTGCTTGCGGGCGCCTCGGGCCATGAAGGTCTGAGTCTGGACCACGACTGCTCGAGGCAGCACTGGGCGCGTGGAGCTGTTGTCAATCTCAGCGAACACGGGGATCACCTCGCCTGTAATGGGGGATGGCAAGGCTTCAGTTCCCCACCTGCAGCCCCGACACTGCCCCCCCTCCCCCACCCACAATACAGCTGCTCACGCCTGCTACCTGGTGTGTAGCCCTTGCGGTCAATCTTGGCTGAGAGGGAGACCAGGCCACGGTTACTGTACCAGGATCGGGCAACTTTCTCCCGAGCTCCTGCCTGAGGGGCCTGACGGGGTGGAGGAAAAGGACATAAATCGGTCACTTCATGGAACTTCCAAACCATCCCCAGCCGAGGGAACCTCGGTGGTAGGGCCCAGTTTCCTGGTTTCTTTTTAACAATCTAGGAAATATTTGTAAAATGGACCCAGGGATATGACCCATCTCATGAAGCTAAAAGTGAAATGAGCAAGCCAGTGCTTAGTGTGTAGTTAGCGCTCAGCAAGGAATTACTAGTTTGCACTCGGCCGTGCCCTTTCTCACAGTCATGGCATCTGAGGTTCAGAGAGGGTAAGACACTTGCCTTGAGCCTCAGAGCACCAGTGCAGCTGGGATTCGCTCCAGGCTACACTGACGCCACAGACATTCCTTTGTCTGCCTCCCTCCCTGCCAGGGCCCAACTGTGACCCGCGCTTTGTGACATTTGTGAAGAGGATAAGGAGCCAGGCCCCTGTTCCCAGGTACTACATCCCACCCCCCCAGGGGCAGCCAGCCACACACCAGCAGGGCAGGCGTGTTGATGTCCACGGGCTCGATAACAGTAAACACCTTCCTTGCCCTGCGGGCAGGAACCCAGGGCCGGTGCAGGGTGGCCTTGATGCAGTATCGGACACTGCCATGTTTGCCCTCGAATGACGTCACCAGTGTCCTAGGAGTCAAAGGAAGGGGCTTCAGCAGGTGAGGCATAGAGACTAGCAGGTTGGGGATTCCCAAAGACTTAGGGGGCTTGAGAGACACAGAGACACTCCTGAGGGCCTCCCAGTGGAGACAGCCTTGGGCTCAGAGGTCCCCAGATACCTAACAGTAGAGCCCCAAACCTGGGGGCATACTTCCCCCAAATCCAGCACCCCAGATGACTTACGGAGGCAGCTGAAAGCTGAATGGGAACTCGTGGCGCCCAGCAGACAATGTGGTGGTCTCTCCCGTATCTGCAAGTAGGAGAAAGAGGGGGCGGCTCAGTGGCTGAGTAGGGCTCCCAGGGCGCGCAACACGTGCGCCCAGCATGGGTCCCTGGTCGTACCTGGCGCGAGAAGCGTGGCATGGTGGCTCAGGACATCCACGCGCTCACTGTAACTCTGTGTGTACGCGGTGCTCGAGCCCGAACTGCGTGACTCGGTCCAATGCACGTGGGCGCGGCCCCGCGCGCGTAGCCTCAGGGCTCCCACGCGCGCCTGGCCCGCCAGCTCCAGTAGCACCCGGCCGGCTACGACCTGGCCGCCGCTGAACACGGGATTAGCGCCCGCGCTCGTGTCGTCCAGAAGCACAACGAACACCTTCACCTTGTCGAAAAGCATCGCGCCGGGGATGCAAACCCTAGACACGCGGACCCTGGCCTAGAATCCCTGACACGGCGGAGCGAGGGGCGACGCCACAGCCTCAGAAAGCAAACCCATCCAGCGCGCGCAGGAGCATGCAGAAAGGGGCCAGAGATTTTTCAGAGCCTATGCTGGCGCCACTTTTATACGGCGGGGCGGGGCGAAGCGCGACACCGGCCCGCCTTGGGAAATAATACGCCAATTGAGCGGCAAGAGGCGTGGCTCCGCCCAGGCAAGTAGCAAAATAAACTCCCAGACTTCCAGCCGGCTTGCCTCCACCCTCATGGACTCTGGGGTGAAATTAAAGAATTGGGGGCCAGAATGGATTTGCCCCGGATTTCGAGGATAAAGAGAGGAAACTGAGGCCAGAAAGCGGGGTCGGAGCTTGAGGTCACTCAAAAAGACCATTCGGTCCTTTAGCTTAATCATCAACCCACCACTACTTGCAGACGTGACTCAGGGCACGTCCTACTCGAGTTGGAGGGGCGTGGCCTGGCCCCAATGGGGCACTGGAGGCCTAGGTCACCGGGTCTCAGTTTTCCCCCCTGTTCAATGGTGAGGAAGAAGGAAGTCAGTGGGGCCTCCCCCAACCCCGCACCTGCTGCCCACTTCCTCTGATTCGAAGCCCGCTCAACTGGATTATCCGGGACTAGTGACAACCTCTTGGAGCCTGAGTCCCCACGTGCACAATGCCGGAAGAAACTCAGCTCGCATTTCAGAGTTCTGCATGAATCTCCGTGCCGTGCCTGCTGAACCACCCTCCCAGCCTTCTTCCCGGATTACCAACCTCTCTTGACCCTTTGCCACTAAGTTGCGCCTAAAGCTCTTTAGCCCGAGGTGTTCCTACCAACCAACATTTCTTTCCCAACTTCCAGCTCCTGGCAAATGCCTACACTTGACCTCTAGGCCTAGCCTTTGTGCCCACTTCAGGCACCTCTAGCCTTGACCCCCCTCAGACAGAGTGGAGTGCAGGAAAGGCTCCTGGACTGCAGACCTGGAGTTCAGGGCTGCAGTGTGACTTCGGGGCAGGAATGACCCCTCTCTGGGCCTCAGTTTCTCCAAGGAACAGTACTTTGGGTTTCAAAGGCAGTTGCCTCCTCCCAATCTACGGGGCATCTGCGCCCTCTGGTGGCAGAGAGATGCACTGCTGCTCGAACCCATGCCTACCTTGGCCATCCCTTTTGAGTCTGGCTCAGGACACCCAGGGACGTCCCCTGAAGGCCACCGCACCCCCGGTGGGAGATGGCCATAACCAGACCTGTCAGCTCGTGGTAGCGGTTAGAACAGGCCCAGAGGGAGGGGCAGAGGCTATCAACTCTGGGGCTGAAATAAGGGGTTGGGACCCTCTGTCAGAGCCAACTGTGGCCAAGAGAGAAGACAGGAGGCCACAAGCCAGGAGGATGTAGGGGACGAGGTGACTCTGAAGGGACAGGAAGGCTCATAATGAGCAAACATTTCCCTCAGTGCATTTCACAGATGGGAGATGGGCAGAGTCACACAGCACATCCGAAAACTTCACCCCTCCAGTGTCTTGAGGAAGCCACCAGCGAGTGGGAACAGAGGGACAGTAGGATGAGACCAACCCCAAATTTGCTGGAGCTGCAGGGGAAGGGAAGTTCCTCTGGGGCCCCTTCTGGCCACACCCCATCGCCATTACACCTCGGTTTCTACAGCTGGTCAGGCTAGAGTCCTTTGAACCTGGAGGCTGTTAGGACAAGGCTGCAAGGCCAAGTCTGAGCTGTCTCCTGCTGTGGGTATTTTGCAGATGGGTATAAGGGAGGAGGTGGAAGGGCCCCCAAAGAGACCCATGTCCTCCTCCGCTCTTTCTGTGGTCCCTGTTCTGCCCCTGTCTGGCCATCTGAGGGTGGGGAACTGAGGTTTGCCACCACATAAGACTCCCAGCCTAATCTGATCTCACCCCAAGTCTCCTCCACCTCACCTGCAAACACCACCAGAACCCCCAAGCCAGGGAAGAACCCTCCGATTCAAGTACTGTGGGCTAAACTGAGGAAGGGTGCACTGGCTGAGCAAGACAGGGGACTTCTTTGGAAATCAGGGACCCCAGACCGGGGCTAACAGGGATCCTGGGGTCCAGAGAGGAGGATCTAGGATCTCCTGTTTCCACCCAGGGATTCCCCTAGACAAAGGGTCCCCATCGCACCACTACACAGCCTCTAAATCCAGGGCGTCTGGGCTCTGGAGTGGAGGTGCCCAGACCCTGGGAGGGGTTCCTGAGAAAGAGGGTTTTGGAGTGAGTAGGTGGGTGGATGTCCCAGTGGGAGCGTTCAGACCCTGGCAGACCCTGGGAAGGAGGTCCCCACTTCTTGAGAAGGGTTACCCGATCACACGGCCTCTAAGTCGAAAGGCTCGCGGCTCTGGAGAGAGCAGCACAGACTTGCGGAAAGGGGCGCGCAAGCCTGGGGAGTGGGCACCCGGTGTGTGTGGGGCGTGGGGGGAGGAGGCGGTGATCCCAGCTATGGGGAGGGAGGGTGAGCGGCTCACCTCGGAGCAGCAGCCGCCGCCGCCGCAAGTACGTCTCTGCGGCCGCGAAGTGGCTGGAAACTGCGTTGACACCCACGCTTCGGCCCTCGAGCCACTGCGCCGCCGCCCCGCCGCGGGCGACCACCTCCAGCGCTCTCACACGCAGTGGCGCCGCCGCCTCCAGCAGCACCCGGCCACACAGTCGCTCCCCGCCGCGGTACGAACCGCCACGCGCCAGCTCCAGCCTGAAGCTGCTCAAGCACCCCAGACGCATGGGCATGGCGCGGGCCTGAGTGCGCCGCGGGGACGATGCACCCGGCGTGGGGCGGGCCCGGGCCTGCGGCCACCACACGGGTCTCTCGGGTCTCAGCCCTCGTCCTCGCCGCCCCTGGCGTCCCGGTGCTTTCTCCCGCCGGAGCGAACTTGTGCAGGCGCCTCAGGCCCCGCGCTGACTTCCTGGTCCTCCGCGTCCGCCCCCTTGAGGAGCCGGGGCCGCCGTGGACGTGGGTTCCGCTAGCCCGCCCCGTTGACTTTGTCACACACACCCACCCCCACCCGCAGATGAGTCACAGGCTGCCCGGGGCGGATGTGGCAGGCGCTGAGAGGAGGCAGCCACGGGGCTGTACGGTGTGGTCTCATTCGTACCCCACTCAGCACTTTTGGTCCTGGGCGCTGCCCCAGCCTTTCTCCCCCCTCCCGCCCCTGCCACCTACAGGTTGTTCCTCAAACACACCAGACTCAAGTCTTGCCTCTTGGCCTTTGCACTAGCGGTTCCAGCTCTAGGAACGCCCTTCCCCAGATCCGCTCTCCCACCCGCCCCCTCCCCCCAAACCCCATGCCCAAATGTGGCCTCCTCAGAGTCCCCTAGGACTCTGGCCTTGTTTATTTCCTTATGGCTCTGCTCAGTGTGCTCATGGCGGTTATGTGTTTACTGTGGCTCCTCGATCAGACTGGGTGTGTTCAAGGCTGGGCAGTGTGCCCTGTTCTCATCACTGGATCTTACAGGTGAGGAAACAGAGGCCCCTAGAGGGGCAGCCACTGCCAAAGGCACCCAGTGGTGGGATGTTACAACTCAAACCCAGGTCTGACAGAGGCCACTGATACCTCTCCACACCCTTCTCTCTAGCTACCAACCTATCTCTTTGAGCCAGGTGGCCCATGGCCTTATCAGAGGCTGCCAGGGCCTGGGCTCTCTGGTGGGCACCCGTTAGCCTCCCCAGGGGTCAGTGTCCCCCCTCCACCCCTATCAGAACTTGGCATCTGCCAAGGGCCCACCACCCCTGCCTGACCCCAGCACGCTGAGCCCAAGGCCTGGAGGGACGTTTCCAATTCTACTTGTGTCCTGAACCGTCCCTTCCAGCCCACACCAAACGGGCCACTTCAACCCCAGGAGTGTGCCACACCTTCCCCAACTCACACCAGCCCCCATGAAGTGTCCTCCACCAAGTTCTGGCTCTTCGTGGTGGCCTGTGGGTCCCCAAGTTTGAGTCCTGGCTCAACACCCCCCACCTCATTCTGTAGCCCCAAGCAGGTGGCTTCACTTCTCTGAGCCTCAGTTTCCCATTCTACCCTGGTCAGGTTCTGGTGAAGAGTCAGAGTGATAATTTACATCACATCACATTCCTTATATATAGCAGGTGCTCCACACATGTCCAATGAAGGCTGAATAGCCCTCCTTGCCCATGTCAGCTCTCTCTCTGGACTGTGCTTTGCTGGCACTTGGCCCACAGTGGGTGCTCCAGCAAAGTCAGCTGGCCAAAAGGAAGGGTGTCTGATTATCCAATGCCTCTTATGAGGGCTGGGCCATGTCCTCTGTGGTCACTCTGTCAGTGCCAGGTGGGATTGGTGCAGATGTCCTTGGAGAGGTGTCCTGACCAAGCTCAGGCTTGGGAGACTACCAGGTTAGGAAGGTGATGGAGACAGGCTCGCCTTGACTCCCGTGTCTATTCTGGGACCCCAGGCCAGGTGTCCATGTCCCATGTTGTGATTTCAAGTGTCCCCCAGCCACACACAACAGGCAGCAATTGGATGGGTCCTGCTTTATTCAGAACTGGCAAGGACCCTTCTCCCTGCTGTTCTGAGCCCACAGGGGGCCTGGAGACAGTCAGGGGGCTGGGAGACCAGAGGAGACTCCAGGCTCCCCAACCTCCAGTCAGGGAGGAAGCAGGCAGCAGCTGCCCCTGCCCAGACAGTCTGGGTGGGACAGGCCCCAGGCCACTCAGCCCAACTCAGCTCTGGCTCCTAGTACTCCAAGAGGCGCAACTGGACAGGGCTTCCTGGATGCTGAGGAGGTGGCGGCCACACGATGGCCAAGATTGTGGGGTCTGGTGGTAGGTGGGGCTGTCATCCGCAGTCTGAAGAGGCCACAGGTGGCCACCGACACGGAGAGCTCCGGACTGCCTGGTCTGGTGGGCCAGACTGGGGAGGCAAGGGCGGTGGGGGCAGGCATATGGCTTGGGTGATGAGGCTAGGCAAGGCCTGCAGGGAGGTGCCCAGCGCATCCAGGCGGCTTTCCAGTGCAGCCAGGCGGGCCTCAAGGTCCTCGTGCTGGGCATGCAGTTCAGACATGAGGTCGTACATGGCATTCTGGGTCTGCCAGAGACAGGTGGGACAGAGAAGAGGCTGAGTAAGACAGGAAGGGACAGGCACAGAGAGAGACAGCTGCAACTGTGAGTACACCCCCAGCCCTGCAGTTCTCCTGCTGGACCCCAGGGAATGGTAGGAGAGTTGGTGAGGGGACAGACAGTTCTTAAATACCAGGCTGGGACCAGGAGACCTGGGAAAGGCTGAAGGATGTCCTGGGGAGGAGCGGCTGTGACCA